ATTTTTAAAAATGTATATTTAAATATTTTTATGTAATAACAAATATTATAGAAACAGGCATCCTCATTTATATAAACAGTTTGAGTTACCCAATATCAGAGTGTCAACACCATTAGGTTCGTCTAGTCTCAGGCCAAATGCTTCTTACACCAGAGGCTCCAGAGGAATTATTCCTCTTTAGGACATCTGGTCAACTCACATGTGTGCATGCATGCATACGTGTGCTTGGGGGTAGGTGGGTAGTGGAGCTGGTAGAGAGCCTGAGAATACCTAGAAGGGGAGAAATAGAGATGGGGTCCACGGGGGTCATGATCTGGGCTAGTGTGCCCCTCTCAGTGGTCCTGGTTAGCAGAGGGGGGTCTTAAAATTTTTCTGAGGACATCTAAGGACCTTCAGGAGAAGGGGAGCATACTAGGATAGCAATTCAACTAGGTGGAGATCTCTTGCAAGAGCAGGAGGAAGCCTGTTGTAGAAGAAACACTACTTGTGACTTGAATTTTTATGGAAGACCCTAAACCTCAACTGTGCTAAGCCAATGCACATAACTGGAAAAGGTATTTTTTTTAAAAGAGCGAATAGCTCAGATGAACACATTTTGGTTGAGCCTGAGGCAAAACTAGAGTTAGAGTAAACAGTGATCTGGATAATAAAGTATTCATACGGAAAGTGCTTAATGATATCAAGGTACTCAGTTTTCTTTAATTTGTTTTACATTTTTAAATTTTTATTTTTTAAATCATGTTTATTCTATTACAGGTGTCTCAATTTCTCCCCTTTGCCCCCTGCCACCCACCCCACCCTCACCCCCACCTGCCACTCCCACAGTCAATTCCCACTCTGTTGTCCATGTCCATGGGTCATTCATACATGTTCTTTGTCTAGTCCCTTTCCCTTCTTTCCACCATTCTCTTCTTTCCCCATCCCCTCTGGTCACTTCCAGTCTGCTCCATGTTTCCATGTCTGTGGTTTATTTTGTTCATTAGTTTATTTTGTTGAATAGATTCCACTTACAGGTGAGATCATATGGTATTTGTCTTTCACCAACTGCCTTATTTCACTTAGCATAATATTCTCCAGTTCCATCCATGATGTCACAAAAAGTAGGAGTTCCATCTTCCTTCCTTCCTTCTTTCCTCTTTTCTTAAATGCAGATTGATTTTATTTATTTTTAAATGTCAAAGTCAATTATAAAATATTAAAAAATTTAAAACCATTATAAAGTCTCAGCAATTAAAACAACATGACACCAGCACAGAAATAATCAAGTAGGTCAAGGAGGTACTCAAGTGTTCTTTAAATCTTGTTCTAACTTTCTACTGGTTTTTATTAATATAGTAGTTTATTATAGAAATAAATATGTATGGTTAGTTGTAGCAGCAAAGAATTGTATTTTCATAAAAAAGTATAATTAGTGAAAAAAATACACCTTCTCATTTACCCATTAAACACACCATTTGAAGCTTGGATCCTTCTGTCCTTCCTTCCTTCCCTCCCATCTTCCATAATAAGGGTGCTCACATATTGAGCATTGTCTGTTTGTCAGGCACTGCTGTGCTGACATTTACTCATTCATTGACTACTTACCACCTCCCGTGAGTCCCCGTTTTATAGCCAAGAAACCCAAGGTTCACAGAGATGAAGTGTCTTACGCAGGAGTACCCAGTTCTGTCTTCTGACTCCAATGCCTTTACCTTTAAGACACTAGCTTCCTTTCCTTGAATAATTACTAAAATCTAGGCAGAGTTATATTCACAGAAGTATAAGTCATATAATCTGCTAACAAGGAGCTTGCAGTCTAGTGGAGGTGGTGCTGGGAACTGGCACATAAATAATTGCGAATTGACAATTGCGAAGCAGCGAGGTGAGGGTGTCGGGTGTCGGGGGACTGCTGAAGGGTGGCTGGGCCCCAACGCAGGAGGGTGGGGCTCAGAAAGACTTCCTGGAAGACCTGTCCATGGGCTGACCCTTCAAGGATCAATCATAGTGAAAGAGGTGAGGAGGGACAAGATGGGCATCTCAGCGGAAGGGGCAACTGGAGGAAAGTCACTGAAGTGAGAAACGGCTTGGGTAGGAACAGAAGCCATGTGGCGTGGTTAGAGCAGTGGGATCTGGGGATGAATCTGATGTGGGGTATTGGAGAAAGGGAGAAAAATATCAGATTTCTGACTTGGTTCCTAGGATGGATTCTCATATCTGCTTCTGCAGTCGTTGGTTGTATTATCACAAGGGATACACATTCCTGCGAGAATGAGAGAGAAAAGGACAAATAAATTAACAACTTAGTATCTTTGTGAAAATAGTTTTGACACTGTAGATCCTCTAGAAGTTCTTTAGACCATACTTTGAAAATCTCTGTGTTCAATGTATGACATTGGAAAATCTCCCAATCTTGATGGGCCTCAGTTTTCCCATCTGTAATTTGGCAGCTGGTAGTAGAGCTGACCTCCCAGTGTAGGAGGATTTAATGAGTCAATATATGTAAAGCCGTTGAACTAGTGCCTGGTACATAGCAGGTGCTCAGTAAATATCAGCTAATTTTCTTTTCCTTTTTGTGATCCTAAGTGGCAGTAAAAAATCTTCCAAGAAATTGCAAAAACTCACTTAAGTTTCATTCTCATGGATTTTCCCTTCTTGTCCTCTCTTGCTCCAGTTGTGAAATGAGGCTTTAAATCTGAGTGCCAACTAACAAATGCTGCTGTGAAATAATTGTAGGTTTTAGTGCTAGCCAGTTTGTGATGATGGTGGCATTTTAGGCCAGACCATCAACTACTTACAGTTTAGCATGTCATAATTTCCCAGATGCTTTCTTTCTTCCTCAGAACAGAAAACATCTCTCTCGGTGCATGGAAGTTGGGTGGTAGATGAGGTGGAGGAAGAAGAAGAGATTTGACCAGCACTAGCTTCTGCCTGGGACTCCAAAATTTCAGTTTGGCTGCTTTCCCCCTTTTGTGTTTTCCAAACTGCAATCATGAAATGAATTGACACATTTGAGGAATTGAAGTCAGATGTCATCATCACGTAGTGGAGGATTTGTGTCACCTACTGCTTTTTTTTTTTGTAGTGAAGATGAGCAAAATAATCAATCTTGGCTTTGCAGGTAGTGAAGTACCTGCAAAATTTTTAAAACTACTCCAAAGATACTGATTTAATTGGCCTGGGGTGTGGCCAAAGTTTTGCCAGGCTATGACTAAAAAAGATCATGCGTTTTCTTTTTTAAATTGTAAAATACAATGAATCTACAAAAAAAGTACCTAATACATAAATGTCAGCTTAACAAACTGTAAAATAAACACCCACCTAATTGTGATCCAGTTCAAGGAACAGAATGTTGCCAGACTCCCAGAAGCTCCCCTTATCTTCTCTCAGCCACATCCTTTTCCCAACTCTCTGCAGGTAACTATTACCCTGACATTTTATAATAACGTTGTTGCTTTCTTTTAATTTTGCCATGAGTATGAATCTCTCCACAAACCAGAAAGGATTGGCACGTTTTTGAACTTTACTGAAATGGATTTATACTTTTTTTGTCTGGCTTCTTTTGCACAGCATTACTTATATTTTGGATTCATTCTTGTTTTGGGATGTACCTGTAGTTCCTTGCTTTTTATGAGTCTGTAGTATTCCATTATGTCCTTGTAGTGTCACAGTATCTTTCTCCATCCCACACCTGATGGCTATCTTGGTTGTTTCTGGCTTGGAGCTAGTACGACCAGTGCTGCATTAAGCATTTTCATGTGTCTCCTGATGCATGAAGGCAGGCAGTTGGAACTCATATGTCTAAGTAGAGTTATTGAATGCATTTGCTCGCCAGAAGGAAGTGACAGACCAAGATCTGCTGTTTTGGTAGACTCTTGGGAGAGACAGGAGTTGGCATCTGGAACCCTGTTAAGACTCTTGCTCTGCGCTGGGACTCTGTAGGGCTGCATGCTACATTTTCTCGAATGTCACTTCTCAGTGAGACCCTCTCTAATCACCCTTTTGCAACTACATCCCTCCCATACTTTCTATTCCCCCTTTCTCCCTTGTATTTATTACCTTTTAACTCAGTCACTCAGACATCTATATATCTATGTCTCTATCTATCCATCTATCTCTCTATATTTTTTTTCTTTCTTGCCACAATTAGATTGCAAATTTCATGAGGGATCTTTATCTGAGTGAGCAGGTTGAACTACCATTGCTTGGCACAGTATCTGGCACATAGTGGTTTCTTAATAGATAGTGAATGAATGAATGATACAAGTGGTAGAACAGATATTGTTTAGGAGCTGGAAACCTGGGTTTTAATTTTTGCCTTTGCCTGTATTAAGCTCTGTAACTTTGATTCTGTTTCTACATTCCTATGTACTCATTAACAAAATGGAGATATACTAGTACCTGTTTTATATGTCTCATTGACTTTTAGTGAGACCCATTCAAGGAAGTACTGTATATAAATTGAGGGGATATTTTTATCATCTTACTTGTTTATATGCAGTATCCTGAGCAGCTAGCTTGATGCCCACCTTACTTTAAACCGCTCTTGAGAAAAAAACTCTCCATTTGAGCACAGGGTAGAGTTGGCAGGTTAATTTCTGCATCTCCCTCTGAAGATTTAGTGGATCTTTACATATCACTTAGATTAGATCACTGGACTCATTGTAAGCCATTGAAAAGCTGAATAATGAAGTAGCAGCTTACCGTAGGAGTTCAGGGCCTCGAATGTGTCCGGTGAGCTCTCTGGATCATCTCCTTTCATCCCCACTGCAATTCTGCAGGGAGAGTACAGCTGGGTTCATTTTAATATGAAGAAATGGATGGAAGTTTAGGGAGATCTAGATTCCCACTAAGGCAGCGGAGCTGATAAGAACCAGAGCCTGCGATAGAATTCATGTCTTTCTGACTCCAACACTGAACTCCCACCTACCTCAGGAAATTGAGATATTTCATTTAAGAGCCAACAAGTGAATATTCTCACTTATGTAGATGATGTTTCTCACTGATGTGTTCTTTCTTTTCAGACTGTCTATGACCAGTGGTTTATTACCCTTTTTAACATTGTCTACACATCACTTCCTGTTTTAGCCATGGGGATTTTTGACCAGGTATGTGTTTTTCTCTATAAGTTATTTTGCTCTGTTAATGCCTTTTAGTTGCTTCTAACTTCTAAGTAGAAGATAAAAGTCATAGAAAAAGTCTTAGGAGTTCAGTTGTTTTGATAGACACCACATGGGTCAAAATCTCTGCCCTATCCCTCACTGCCCCCCAAAGTTTCTCTGATTGAAGTTTGACTACTCCCCACTTAGAGATTCATACCCCACCATCTCAGAGCTCTGAGACGTCCTGCTGGAAACAGTCTCTTTAACTTCATTTTAGTTCAGCGTTTCCCCAACTCCTGTGACTGTCCTTTTAGTTATCTACTTTTCATACATCACTTATTAATGTGCCTCAGAACTAGTGCCTTGTGGTTCACCACTGAGAAGTGCTGTATTAGCCTCTGAGAGTGTCGAGAACCAGGAGTGATAGACAAAAAATCACGGAACCAGGTGGGAGAGCAGACAGCTGGCATCTGCGATAAGACAGCCCAGTACAGGAACCGCAGACTAATGAGGGAGAAGGAAAGAGCCCCCTAGCCATGGAGAAATAGGTGCATTTCAGTCTTCTTTTGTTTAGCTCACATGCTTGAGAAGAGAGAGAAATGGTGGCTCCTTGGCACATTTAGAGGCTTGGAGGGTACTTCCTGGAAGGGGAAAAAGTCTGGCTGCCTACGGGGAAGTGAAAGGCCAGCCAGAGGAATTTCCATGGCACGATTAGAGAATATTATTAAAAAAATTTTTTTTGAAGTATTTTTAAGGAGACCAGATTTTCTTCAGGCTGTTGTTAGACCCATTTGCTAGGCCTCATTTTTCTGGCCCAAAGCCGTCTATTGCAAAATATAAATCTTCACATTATGAGCTCACTCTGCTCTCTCATTCTGTGGCTTTGTAGTCAGTTCTGTCTCACTTTTCATATGTAAAAAAGGCATTTCGTGAATGGCATAATTTGTGGAATTCTACACAAATAGACTCCTACAGACCCTAGATATAAAGGACTTAAGCACATTCATTCCCAAGTGCCCGCGTTAACAAGTGTTTCTTTTCTTGGTACTTTGTATCTGCTCAGAATGTGGAATAAAATAAAATAAATCAGTTTCTGGGAAAAGATGGTTATTGTGCAATTTGAAAAAAAAATAAATAAATAAGGCCTCTATTGCCATCCCCTTAAGTTTCTTTCCTTCCCTGCTATGTCAACTTTGGCCCTTAAACTGATCACAGATCATGGAATGCTATGCTGGAAGGGCGAAGGGCCTCCACGATCACCTACAGATGACTCATTTTAAGGAGGAAGCCAAGGCTCAGAGGTTTCAGTCTCTGCCTAAAGCCATCTAGACAATAAGTGATAACATTCAGCCTAATACCAGGCCATTTAACTCTGAGCTTGCTATACTACTACCATTGTTAGTGTTGCTCTCCTTATTTTATCTATGTATATTTATGTATAGAGGCACCTGTTACTTATTACTTAAGGTATGGCAAGAACTCTGCAGAACATGTACCTATTGAATGATGACAGTGATCCTGTGAAGGTGACGCTGTTGTTAGCATTTCTGGAAATGAGGACACTGAGGCTCAGACAGGGTCACTAAAAGGTCTGAGACTACACAGCTGCTAAGCTGCAGAGCCAGAGTTTGAACTCAGGATTGTCTGTTTTCAAAGCCTGTGCATGTAACTTAATCAGTCACCGAACTGAGGAAATAAGCTCCCAACAGCATCTCAAAATGGGACTTCCTGAAGTTAAAATGTCAGTGTTTTGCATGGGACCCCATTCGGCAAGACTCAGGCCATTCCACAAGCAGGAAGGGGAGCTTGGTCTGCCCCCAGAGTTCATTCATGCCTGCGTTCCTTCCTCTTCAGCTGTATCTCCTCCACCCATGGTCCTCTGATGTCCTTGCCATCCTATTTGGCTTTGGTGTTCATAGTGTGGTCATCAGCTTTGGAGCTGGTTGGAAATGCAGAGTCTCAGGCCCTGCCCGAGACCTGTTGAATCATCACCTGCCCCCCCAGGTGATTTGCATGCACATGAAGTTTCAGAAACACTGTTTTAGTTTCTCCCAGGACTCCCGCTGGGGCCAAACATGATGCCTTCTCATTCTGTGGAAATTCTTTGTCCTGAACACCGTTGGCATCTTCACTGGGCAGACGACTCAGCTCTTCAGGCTCAGCTCCCTTCCCACCTGGAATCCCACATGCAATTTTTCTCTTTCCCTGATCCCCTCCTGCTGCTCACCTTTCCCCCTAAGTTGGGAACTCCGATTGGCCAATTCCGATTCTGCAGCTCTCTGCTGCCATCACCTACTCACTACCACTCACTTCCCTGGCGATTAACCCCGAAGCCCACTGAGGGCACATGATGTACTAGAACCCCGGGATCAGGAGTGCAGCTGCAGGAGAATACAGGAAAGAAAGAAACTTCAATGTGAAGCCAAACATCTGGGTGCGAGTCAAGTTTTGGTTCTGCTATACAAGCTGTGTGACCTCTCATGAATCTCTCTTGGAGACTCAAGCTCCTCCTTTGCAAAACAGGGATCATTTTAGTATCCTCTGGGTTATTGAGGGAATGAAAACAAGAAAATGAGTAGTACATTTTGAGGGCAGGCTTAGACATGCACTTGCTATTTCTGGAGGCAGGGAATTCAGGGCCTCTCTGACTTCTCCTCAAGCCTCCTCTGCTGATGTAACTAATACTGTGTTGGCAGGATGTAAGTGACCAGAACAGCATGGACCGTCCCCAGCTCTACAAACCTGGACAGCTGAATCTACTTTTTAACAAGCGTAAATTTTTCATCTGCATGGCACATGGAATCTACACCTCATTCGCCCTTTTCTTCATTCCCTATGGGGCCTTTTACAACGTGGCTGGAGACGATGGGCAGCACGTGGCCGACTACCAGTCTTTCGCAGTCACCATAGCAACATCTTTGGTCATGGTGGTCAGCGTGCAGGTAACCCTTTTGGCGAAAACAGCTTAACTTGATGGCTTTATAACTTTTAAAATCCTATTTCATTGCTGACTGATTTTTTCCACTTCTTGGAGAAGAAAAAATCTCACCGGGGTACTGGGGTTTCCTTTTTGACTACGCATTTTGGGATGGATGCTAGTTGAACCTGTTGTGGTAATCATTTCACAATGTATGTAAATCGAACCATCATACTGCATGCCTTAAACTTATACAGCGATATATGTCAATTATTTTTCAATAAAACGGAAAAAAACAGAAAGAAACAAGAAGCTTTAACAAATTACCAGATGTAGGAAATTAGCATTAGGTGTCTATAACCTCCACGGTAGTAGGAACCTCACAATGGAATCACTTCTTGAGGTTGAATATTGCCGGTAAAGAGATATGATTGTACTACTACTTCCTTCTGGAGTTTGAAGAAGAAAATTTTTCCACTGATGACAGAATGATAAACTTTTCCATGGTTTCTATAAGACTTAATAATTTCTAGGTTTTAACGTGAGATCTACAGTTTATTTGGCAATATAACCTTGGAGTTATTCAAGAAGTTCAGTGGTATATCGGTGGCACCTCTGAATCTGACAAGGATGATTTTTGATGTTCCATTGATCTTCTTCCACTGGACAACTTGAGTTGTGCTTCTATTTCCTTTTTAATGCAAGCAATGGACAGATATAAGTTAGAATTCATAAAAGTTTTCTGCCCATTAAAATCTGCAGCTCTGGGTGGGTACAGCAAGCAATATGACTTGTTTTTTTATTTTTGTTTTAGGATTTTTTTGTTTGTTTTTTGTTTTCACTTTTAAGGGGAAAGTATCAATCAAGGGCTTAATTTTTATAGAGTTTGAATTGCCTTTGGTCAGACCTTTTCGTAACCTAGAAACAATCTTGTACTAATCTTAGCTGCTCACATCCCACAAAAGGTCTCATCACACCCAGACTTTTTCTTCATGACTCAATAAATATTCGATTGAATGAATCAAATGTAAACATATTGCTTTAAAAGGGCATCTTTTCCATTCCTTGGCCTATCTGAGTGAGTATCCTTACGTCCATACCAAAGCCATCGAACAGTTGACATCTTGGAGTTCAAAATTCAGAATCAGACAGTTAACATCCAAAAGCAGAACCAGATTTCTCCACTCAAAAAGGAGTTCTGTTTGTCTGTTTTACAACTAAGTAAAGCTCTATGACCCCTCCAAGCCCAGGTCTTCCATGTTCAGTTCTGCAGCAGAGGAGGAAATCACAGAGTGACTTGGAAGTGTCTGGTGTAGCTAAGGCATTCACCAGGGGAGTCCATTACCGGGGCAAGGTCTATATGTCCTCACAAGAAGCTCTCACTTCATCTCTTCTTATAGCTCTTGCCACTATACTGGGCACTCCAGCTTCTCTTGTTTTGTTGCTTTTGATCACTGAGCAAACTCAGTGGATACTATTATTGTTCCAGCCCAGAAAATTGGGTGATGTAGTCCTTGTCATGAGGGCATGTTTCCACTTCTCTGGATCCTTCTTCTAGAGGGAGAGTGGTTGTGGGATGTACAGGGACATCTTTTTAGTGGTAACAGTTTATTTACCTCCAGGTCAGGCCTGTTACTTGGTGCTCCAAGAAATGATTCGAAAGGTAGTCAACTGAGATAAAGAACCAATATCTGAAGAAAAAAAGCAAAGGGAAACTATTCTTCAAACTGTCCTTAACATTATATGCTATATAAATAAGGGCAAAAAGATAACCTAGAAAATTCACTGTAGCTATAACAGGCATTATATGTTTTTAGTGGAACTAGCTTTCAAAATTAACCCTATCATTTTTTATTAACTGCATTTTTTAGTTAAAAAAATCTGTTGGTATTCTTATCTATCTTTTTCTCTTTTTCTTTTTGCTTGTCTATAATTTATTTTATTTTCTTATGCTCTATCATAGCAATGCCGGTGCTATGTTTCTATATTAACTTTAGATTTAGAAGCTCTTTTCCCCATAAAGCACACAGTTCTTGTAACAGTTGGATGCCATCATTACATTTCTCCTTTTTTTACAAGCTGAGAGCTCATAGAAACAACTTTACTGTAAAAATATTGTTTATTTACAAAAAAGATCACAGAACTTTGCATTCTGTAATTTAGAGTTTTTAAAACCAAACTACTCAAAATTTCTTACCTTTAATTATCAAGATATTATAAGAATGGCACCCAGGCTTTCCCAGAGGGACTAATACTTAGGACCCAGAATAACCATCAGTCCCTCACTCAGGGTGGGACTATCCAGGTCTATTGGGTTCAGGCCTAGTTGGTTTTGTCTTCTACCATCTATTCTCTACTTTCTGTCTCCTCAAGGGCAACGGTGGTCCACCTATCTTTTCTCTAAAGTTAATACTAACATCTTACATAACCATTGTGCTGTTGTCAAAACTGCGAAATTAGCCCTGGCACAGCACCATTAACTGAACTACAGATTTCCTCAGTTTTGCCATTAGTGACCTTTCCCTCTGTGTCCCAGAATCCCACACGGCATTCAGTGGTCATGTCTCCTTAGTTTCCTCTCTGATAGTTTTCTACTCTTTCCTTGTCTTTCATGATTTTGACACTTTTGGAGAGACTCGGGTATTTTGTAGAATGTCTCTGGGTTTTGGGTTTTTTTTTTAATGTTTTCTTGGGAATAGGCTGAGATTGTGGATTTTGGGGAAGAATCACAGAGATGTGTTCTTCTTGCTGCATCCTATCAGAGAGCACATGATATCAACATAATTTATTACTCATGGTGCTGATCTTGGTTACTTCGTTAAGATGATATTTTTCAGGTTTCTCCATTGTAAACTGACTGTTTCCCTTTTCATACTGTATTTATTAGAGGTGAGTCACTAGTCCACATTCAGGGGGAAGAGAATTAAGCTCCATTTTCTAGAGAGAGGAGTTTCAAAGACTTGGTGGCTATATATTAAAAGCATAGCAGGCATAATTTTAAATAAAATTGATATAACAACCTGGGCCTAAGACTTGCTCAAGATCATACAGTGACTGCTTTGCGGGTTTAAGATTAGGATTCAGTAGTCTTATTGCTCAAGCATATGTTCTCAAATAAAGACATTTGTGACTACTCTTTAAAAATGTTAGGCAAGCATTTTCTACAACACAGTTAGGGCTGGGGTGCAGAGTTTTTAGGCATGGCTGGGAAGCAGTAATGCACACACGAAGCTGTTCCTCTGAAGATGAGGTTCTGGGTCTCACTGCTTGGGGGCTGTGATCTCTTTGCTATGTTACAGTGTTAAAGTCCTCTAAGTCTTATCCACACACCCCATTCCAGAGATTTCTCCTCTATCTGATTTCTCCCTGCCCTCACCCCCATACCCACCATTAATACTGAGTGCTGGAGGGGCCTGAAACAGCCAGGAGACTGAGGAACTTTCTGGATAGAAGAATGAGGCAGGAGAGATACAGGCCAGTGATGGTGGCCTAGAAGCAGAATGGGTGAGGATGGATACCAGTTGCCAATGGGCATGCTTTGTTTATTACTGTCCTCTAATTTAAACTACAATGCAAACACAAATGAGTATTTGATGAATGAACGAAAGGGCAAGAGATGTAAAAAGAGAGTTTAAAGTTGGGTAAACAAAGTGAGCAGAATATGGTTGAGGTACACAACTATCCCCACTCTATTAGTTACATGCCCACCTAATCTCAGGAGACTAAGCAAGCCTGTCCTTGATGGTAGCTTTCAAACACCTGTATCATCATTCCAGCTATGAGTAATGTCATGCTTATACTTATTTTGCAGTGCCACTATGAAGCAGGTATTATTGTCCCTTCTTACCGATGGAGCTCAGAGAGGTTAAATGACTTGCCTGAGTCCCAGATCCACGATTGAAACCCAGATCTATCTGACTCCAACTTTATTTTGGATAAAATCTTTTATTGGTCAAAGTGTAAATTTTCAGGCAGTCTGAGAACAAAGGTTCTCACTGAGTAGAAAGAAAAATATCAGATACTTTCTTGTTTATACAGAAGAAACAAAGAGAGAGGTCATAAAGCTAGGAGCACTAGAGTTTGGAAGAGAGACAATACCTGGAGGAACAGAGGAAAGAGAGCCTGTAGATATACTAAGAGCAAACCTGGCCCTCTTGTTCTGTCAGGCTTTTCTAGTTTTCAGAGTAACAGCAGCAGCTCTCATTAATTGAACATTTCCTATGTAAATGAATTGTTACTGAGATAATTCCATTATCTCATTTACTCCACTCACAGTCCTCTAAAACATAGATACTAATTACTACACATGAAAAATAGACAGGTTACAGTTCAAGTTACACAGGAAGTGACAGGCCAGGATTTTAAACACTGATCTGACCTCAGATCCCCAACTCCAAAGCCATATGGACCTCCCTTCTTTATAAAGAAAACTGGAAGCTAGTAGCTCCATGGTCTACTTCTTTCTTCTATGAGGGGCTACCTCGGACACCAGGGTCATCCTTGAATAAAATGGGAGAGAAACTGTTAATAGAGGGTAAACACACAGATCCTATTTCAACATCAAAAGCTCAATTTAAGGAATATATAGGTTAATTCCTGTCATTTTAGTTTAACACATTTTTATTTCTAGGAAGCCCTGCAAATGTTTGCTTTACCATAGAATTTTCAGACCTGAGTGCATAAATGTTTATAATCATAAAAGCTCAGCAATTTTGGCTTCAATGGAAATTGATGTCAGAGAGAGAGAGAGAGAGAGAGAGAGAGAGAGAATAATGAGTTTCAGGAATTTTGTGCATAAGCTCACTTTGATAGTGGCATTAATATCCTTTTCTCGCTGTCTAAACTTAACTTGTGGTTATGCTAACAATCCCCATGAAATTTCCATGGTCTATAATTACAGTTGTGAATCTTACGTATGTGTTCTGCTGATGCTACTGGCCAAACTTTACCAGTCTCTACATTTTTTATATATCAGTTTTCTTTAGTTATTTGAGTTATAAAGTTCTCCTTTTAACATTTTGAATAATATAGAAGTGTTTACAATAAAATCAGCCACCTTCCTTTTCTTTTCTACACTTCCCTGGTTAATGACTATTATGATTACTATAGCTTAATTCTTCCATATTTTTTTCCTTTGCTTTGAGACACACGCATACATGTATTCAAGAGAAATTGTCCTAATTTCTGTGACATGCTTTCCTCACATAATGAGATACACTAGACAGATTTCCAAATCAACACATTCAGCTATCATAACCTTTTTAAGAGCTGCACAGAATTTTATAATATGGATATATAATAATTTATTCATCCATCCTCTAATGATAGACATTCAAGATATTTCTTTTTCTTTTTTCCTTTTTTTGGTATTGAAGCAATGCTGCCACCCATATACAAGTACACTGTGATTTTAAAATATCCTACTTATGAATAATTTATGACTTTTACTATTGAAGTTCCCTTTTACTAGTGATTTCTCCCCATTTTCATAATCAGTTAAATCTTTATTTCTATACTAATACACCAAAACTAAGTAACTGTATCCTCCACCAAATGTTTTACTATTCTGTTCTGTACATTCCCTCACCCACCTGCAAATTAAATAATTTTGGAAATATTTTGACTTCACTTCTCCCTCCCTTGTCCCACTCGCTTTCCCAACTCTTGAACATTAATAATTTAGACTTATAGTTCCAGGATGTTGTTAAATGTTTCTCTAACATATGTTTTGACTGTTGCAAAATTCTTTCTAAATTAATACTACGGTTCATATTCACATTGTTACCCATTTAGAGCCAACTCTAAATTTACAAGAATCATTGCTCACCACCACTTTTAATCTCTTTGTCTTCCACTGTTTTAAGGTCTTCGTTCTGAATTAACTTTTTTTTTTTTTTTTTTTGGTTACAGCAATTTTCTTGAGTAATTTATTCAGAAAGGGCAGATAGATTTTATGTTTTGAGCATTCTTTCTTTGTCTTTATATTTAAATGCTATATTGAATGGGCATAAGGTTCTTGAGTCAGAGCCTTTTTCTTTAGGAACCTTGTAAAAGTTGTTTCACTGTGTCCCAGTTCCAACCATTTGATAGTATGTTGATTCTCTTTCTTTTGTAAGTAGTATCCTCTCTGTCTGGAAGCTTGTGTTCTTTATTCTTGGACTTCACAAATGACACCAGAATGTAACTTCTTTCAGTAGTTTGCCTTGGATTTAGATTGCACCCACACATCTGAAGATCTTTGTTGCTTGTTATAACAGAACAGAGCAGTTATCTTCTGTTATTTCTTTGATCATTACCTTTTTATTTATTTATTCTTCTAAAATTTCTTTTTGTGTGTGTGTGTATTGGACCCACAGATCTGACATCTATGGATTTGCCATCCCTGCTTATATCTTTTTGTTCATGATTTCTGTTTCTTCAAGTTTTTGCTCTCTGTTGTGAGATATTATTTCCACTTGTTTTCTCCAGAATATTAATTCAGTTCTCATCAGTGACTATTCTTATTTTGTTTCTCTATTGAATTTTTATATTCAGAAATAATGCTTTTTTTCATCCAGATTTTTTCTGTGATTTAATTGCATCCCCTTAAGAATTCTTATTACATTTTTTTTTGTTATTGTTATTATAGTACTTGTCTGCTTTTTCCATTAGTTTTGCCTCAATAGGAGCCACTTTTTCTTGGTCTGTTCTTTTTTTGAGGCTTAAATTTCTTGTGATTTTTCTTTGCCTACTCATGCCCATGCAGTCCAGGCCATTGGTGTTCTTGGGTAGTGATGAACTGACAGGTAGTAGAAGGTAGATTCGGAGATTTTGTCTAATGTCTCAGTAGCCAAACAAGCTGGAAAACCACCATCTCTTTGCTGAGGCACAGGTGGCAGGTCTTTCTGTTCTCAGGCCTCTTGAGGAAAGAAAACACTGTCCCTTGGTAATCCCTGCAGCTTACATCCAAGGCTTCCAGCATTCTATTAATGGGTCAGTATTTCAAAGGACAGCAAACTTAAAATGGGAAGTGGAAATATATCTTCAATGCAGAGAAGGATCTATTACTATGTTAGTAGGGTCCTCTCGGGTAGGCGAGACATCTGTGATCTTGCACCAGACGCTGCAAGAAAGGACCAAACCTTCACTTGAGTCATTTGAGACCTCTGAGACGCAAATAATGACATCAGAACTGACTTGTTTTTCTCTGAACATGCAATGGTTCTTCTTCACCAGTTGCTGCCTTGACTTTCTGATAGCAGGTCACTCTTTTACAGCTGTGCTGCCACAGCAGCTGTCCGAAGGGAGAAGGGGTTGTGAACGTGCTCCCAGGGCACCGTGAATCAGCTCCTGAAATTTATATCAGAAGAAGATTAAGGATTTTTCTTTGTTACTGTTTAAATAATTTAAGAGAAAGGATCATCAAAATGAGGTTGAATATTGATGTAAAACCTGTGATTTACACAGGTTATGCCTGTGTAAAAAATGGTCATGTGAAAATTTATGTACAGGTTATAAAATGTTGCACTTGGTTACTACAGAAAATATTTTTTCCGTCAAAAAAGTTTTTAAATGCAATTTATAAAGTAACATTGAAATTAGAACCCATTCTGCTCTCTCATTTCTCTCTTAAAAGAAGTTTAACATTTTATTACCCAATTCTGATTGAACCTTGGCAGATATAATGGTTTGCAGATATAAGTTCTAAAGTCAGTTGTCTAGCAGAAATGTCAAATCCGTTCCCTGCGTTGTGCACAAAGTGGAAGTGCCTCTGGTTGGTTGGGAGCTAAACGGGTGTAACCATTTTTTCACAGAGCAGTTCCAGGGAAACATCACTCAGTAGAAAGATGCTCTTTTAATCCTCAAAGACCTCCCCTTATACTTTACTTTATTTACAGATAGCCTTGGATACCAGTTACTGGACTGCCATTAATCACGTCTTCATATGGGGCAGCATTGCCACTTACTTCTCTATTTTATTTGCAATGCACAGCAATGGCATCTTTGACATCTTCCCAAACCAGTTTTCGTTTGTTGGTAAGCGAATCCTATTACCTCATGGGGCCTAATGTCATCCTGTCATTTGTTTGTCTTTGTAATTTATTTTCTGTGTTAGGTGGGACTAGGGGTGCCCAACAATCTTTTCTCTAGGAATTGGTTGCATCAGAGGCATCTGAATGCTTCCAGGCTTGAAAAAGGCTCTAGAAGAGTCATTTCTGCTGTCTTTACCACATGCAGAAGAATCATTGAGATAGCTACTCCAACAGCCCAGGTAAAGTAAACTGCCTTTTTGAAAACAAGAGGCATAGTACCTATATCAGGGCTACCCAAGCCCTGGGAAAAGTTCATGTATGAGAGAGGAAGGAGAAAGAGAAGAAAATGTGTCTTTCATGCCACGTAATCACCAATATCTCTGCCCAAGATTACCAGTGGAACTTACTTGCATTAAGATAAGAAAGAAATGATGTATAATTTAGAGCCTTCTAAAAATTTTGGGACATTAATCCATAAATGGCATGAAGAGTAGGCTCTGCAGTTAGATGGCCAGGATTCAGTGTCAACCTCACCACTTATTAGCTCCGTGACCTAGGGCAAGGTTTTTGTTTTGTTTTCCTTTTCATGCCTTAATGTCTTTACTTCTAAACTGGGAATATTAATATTTTCTAGTTTCATAGGACATCTGTGAGGGTTAAATGAGATAATATATATAAAATGCTTAGCATGTGACATTCTGGATAGCAGTTTAAAAAAATGTTAACCATGACAATGGTGGTGGTGATGATGGTGATGATGATGGTGATGATAATGATGATGATGATGATAGTTGATGATGATCCAAGCAAATGTGTCTTGGGGACATTGCAGAGTGATTTGAGCAGTAAATACTATAGGTAGCAAAGCACCTCCTAAAATCCTTTATAATCTTGAGATTCTATGATTCTACAAAAGTATACATTGGGTCTATTTATTGAGTATACTTTCATTGCTCTCCACATTTCAAAGTGATTCCTAGCAAAGGCCACTGAACTTGACAGAGTGGGGCTACTAATACACTTTCTCAGAAATTTTGAAGTCTCTGGGGTGTGTGAGAGAAATTGGTAAGAATGATGTTGTTTGAGTTGATCCCAGCAAATTGTGGAAAGGAGAGACGCATAGGTGAAAAGTTCTGTGAGCTCAATCAGGCAAGAATGAGATTTGCATCTACTAGCTGGGGAATCCAGCCTACAAAAGAGTCCTTAGAAGAATGGTTTATGTAGAAAGCAAAATAAGGGCAACTATAGTGTTATACACTTCCAATGGTGCAAAGGCTCCGGAAATTGTAATTCTATTTAAATTTGCGCGTACACTTAAGAATGTTATTCTTCAGTTTTTGGCTTGCCCTGCATGCACATGGAAATTTTAAGTTGTACCACTCTTACTTAATACGTAATATTAATACTCTGTTTACCAAAAGATTCCAGTCATGTAAAAAATACATGGTGGTTATGAATAAAAATAAGCATATTAGGAAAGGGAGCCATTAAAACTATATATTTTTTTTTGGTTTTTTCTTTCTTCTTCTTCTTTTTCTTTTTTTTGTTTTTTGGCTGCCAAATCTGAAAGTTCAGTGCATTGACTAGGAGATTTCCAGTCCTCAGACAGCATTTTAGAATGCATAACGAGACTGGAATGCCTCAACTGGAGAAAGTAGTTTGTGTGGGGACCACTCTCTCCAGCTAATTAATTCCAGGAATTAATTACTGAGCTCCAATGAGTCTTTTCAAAAGTTAGATCAACATTGAGGTTTAACAAAAAATTTTTTCCTTAGTAACCAGCAGCAAACAGGAGTGTGGTTTTAAAGAGACCTGGTTTTTTTCCAGTCATGCCTCAGGGGACTGAGCTTCAAGGAGCTCAGAGAGACATTTAATTTATTGAGTCAAGTCTGTTTCTGCCCAGGGAAATAGAACCAACTGCTCTTTGGTAAGCAGATTCTATTCTCTAGCAAGGGTGTCCAACCTTTTGGCATCGCTGGGACACACAGGGAGAAGAGTTGTCTTGGACCACACGTTAAATACACAAACACTAATGAAAACTGATGAACAAAAATAAGGTTTTAAGTAAATTTACAATTTTATGTTGGGCCGCATTCATAGCCATCCTGAGCCTCATGCGGCATCACAGGCTGCAGGTTGGACACCCCTGAAAGCCAGAAAATTCAAGCATCCAAAGCCCGTTCTTGGTGTTAATACGGAACCTGGATAATTGGAGGTGTGGTAAATCCCTAAAAACCTGATAGGAACAAAAGTTCATTTTGGTGATATAAGTAGGGTTTCTATCTTCTGTAGAACTTGCCTACCTGCCTTACTGACCCTTCTTATCGCTTTGTTTAAACAAATATCCCAGTCTATTAGGTATGAGTACGAAGCAAAGAAACTGGCTCCAGGCTCGCAAATGAGCTTCCCTACTTTGTTGCACTAGCGTGTTTGGTGGCCGCACCAGTGGTTTCCCAGTGAGGGGAACACTCTTTTCAAAAACCAGGAGCATCCCTGATCTCCCAGGAACCTTGAGTTCTTCATAACCCAGTGAGCAGTAAGAGAAATCAGCAAGTCCCTTTGAGGCAGGTTTTTCTGTGGTTGTTGCCTGAGCTTAAAAGTTTAGCCCTGTAGTAAATAAAGCTTTTGACCCCTTGTGACATAGCCAGTCACCAAGACCATTAGTTAAGATTGTACCTGCATCCAGGACATGTATTTTGTAGTTTTGATATGATAAGGAGGGGGAGCAAAGGTTGCCACTCTAACATATGCCGTTTTTTGGATATTGATTATTTTAAGCTGGTTATTTTTAAAAAACAAAAATCTCAGAAATAACTTTTGCCATTCCCCCTAACTGTCTAAAAATTTAGATAGAAGACAAGCGATAGTTCCCAGAAAGGGAACTATCATCACAGGTAACTGTACTTTAATATGAACTAGGAGTGATAGACAGGGAGGAACCTAGCAAGACCCATTTGACCAAAGTCCTTCCTGTGTCCTTGTTAAAGATGGGCCAGCACATATTTGTTTACCAGACATTTATGGGGAGAGACCCCCCAAAAATGAATTTATTTATAAAAACTTGTGTATGTATTCTTACATGTTTAAACTTCAGTCACCTTCAAAGTCCTCTCCATTTGAAGTAATACCCCTATCAAGACTTTTCTCCACTGCTCAAAACAGTTTTTGAACTCATCGATTTTGATGCCCTGGAGTGCTTCTGCTAGTTTTTTTGTTTCACCTCTTCTGCATTGACAAAACGTTTTCCTTTGAAGACTTTTTTCATCCAGGGAAACAAAAAAAAATGTCACTTGGAGAGAGGGGAGAGATTGGGTGAATAGGGTGGGTGGGGCAGGTGGGTCATGCTGTTTTTGGTCAAAAACTGAACATTCAGTGAGGTGTGGGCAGGTGCGCTTGTAAATCACCCATCGTGAAATGGGCAAACGTGTTGAAAGAGTCTCCAAAAAAAATTTGCTGAAGCCAAGGCAGCCTCTCACAACACCACCAGCCGGGACACTGATACAGATGGGTTCCTACACCACTCACATAGCTGAGGAAGCCTGTGCTACAAGGGGCCCGCCCTCCAGAAGATAATTCCATTGAGGGGGGCATCCCCCTCCTACTTCCCCATCTCCTTGTGAATTGCCTTCTTTCTCTTTGAAGTCCAAACCACTACTTTCCTCCAACGACATTCCTCTTTCTCCTTAGCTGAAGATGGCATATAAGCCTCAACTGCCAGGGTAAATATGCCTTTTAGAAATAATGGTTGCTTTGTAGTCAAGGGATCTAGAAGCTGGATGAAAGAATCATGTTTCATGAGTGAAACTACACTGAACCTGGATAAGAGAATGCTTGGCTCCAGCTGGCCATCTCCAAGTGATCGGGCCACAAAGCTGCTCCCAAGAGCCTTGCCTTCTCCTCATCATCACTGAACATACTATATAGTAGAAAATATACCTACTGGTTCTCCCTACATAGTCCAAACCTCACCATTTCAAAAAAGGTCTTATGGGAATAGACAATTAGCCTATTAATTCAATGATTCAATTCTATTTATAACCACAATGTATATTTTCTTTAATGATAGGAAATGCACAGAATTCCTTGAGCCAGAAGTGTATCTGGCTTGTTATTCTCCTAACGACAGTGGCTTCAGTTATTCCTGTGCTGGCATTCAGATTTCTGAAGGTGAACTTATTCCCGACCCTGAGCGATCAGGTATGTTGTAGTGCTGATGAGTCTTTGAAGGGCTTGTTCTTGGCTCTTGGAATCATGTTCTCTTCTACCTAATTGGAAGCCCAGTGAAGGGCCAATAAACTTCCCATTGGCAAACACCCGCAGGTGCAGAACATCACATCACAGTAGATAGAACTGCCTGTGTCTGAATGTTCTAGGCTTGTGAGTGCCGATGAAAATAAATGTCTAGACTAAATATGGGTGGGGAGTCATAAATTACAAGTCGGGTATTTTAAAAAGTTGACTTTTTAAAAAGGAGCTCTCTGGCAGCATATTTGACAACTGTCCCAAAGGAAAGGCAAACCAGAGGGCAAGTTACTGACTTGGGGGCAAATAAGGGTACAGTATGAGACAGTCAAGATAAGAGGTGAAGGGGCTCTCGGTGTTTGTAGAAATATAGTGGCAGGTTCAGAAACATGGGGAGAAATTACCTTCTGAACAGAGTAAGAAAAGGAACAGCGGCATTGATGGGTGGATTGGAAAATATACAGTTAGAAAGAAAACAGAACAAATTCTAAAAATACCTAAACCAAAGGATTACTAGGACATATTTCAGTATTTCTTGGGAAGAGGAGTATAAGCAGGACAATGTCAAGTTAGGTCTGGACCTAGATACAAGGAGAAAAGGAGAAAGAAAAGGGAGGCACATTTGTAGCCACATCAAGAAAAGGGTAAAAACATTAATGGGGTGAGTGACCAGGTCAATAATGCTGAGAGGAACTGAGGTAGAACTTTCCTTGTCATGTTATCACTCACATTCTGGGGCCAAAATACAAAATATATTCCTTCTGAAATGATTCCCAGAGTCCCCTGTTATGTCTGTCCTTTCTCTTTGGCTCTGTAAGCTCATTCTTAAATAAACCCAGAAAATGATGAATGAGCTGAAGGAAGGAAGATGATGATCATTTCTTCCTATATTTAGTCAGATCATGACTTTCTGTTTAACAGTTTTCTCCTTACACAAAAGTCATCGTCCAAGCAATCAGCTGAATCAGAGAACAAGGTGGCTTGCAAACCTTGCTCCAAACCTTGGATATTTCCCCCTTTAACTTTACAGGGGAATAAAATAAATTGAAAACCCACTCAAATGGTGCTGACCTCTTCAAAAGATCATAAAAAAACCCCCCAAAGAAATCAAAACCCTGAAAATATGGTACATTGACCTACCACAACAGTTGGAAATTTCTGATTCTCATTTTCTAAATTTTGTTCTCATCTAGTTCCTAGTGACTATTGGATCCTGAGAATCTCCAAAAGAGAGGGAAAAGGCCCATTCTAGGTGCAATGGGACTATAAGTTGCGATACTGAGTGTGTTTGGGCGGTGCATACTAGAAAATCTTTCTGTATAAAAGTATGTTCCAATTCACTTAAGACAGATGTATGACATGGAGACAATGATGAAATTTGCCTTGATACTTCTTGCCTAATAGTATCCTGGTAGAAATAAAAACTAACCAGTGCCCAGGGTAATCTTTTAGGTAGAAAAACTCTTAGTTGTTAGGCAAAAAACTCCCTTTTTCAATGACGATGGGCATTTTGTTAGCGTTGATGTTGTTTTTACCAAGAAGGTTTTCACTTCACAAACTGGCCCACTGCCTAGAGTGTATCGTGTCGATGAGATGCATCATCTCACTCTGGTTCTCCTTTCTCTCCAGATCCGCCAGTGGCAGAAAGCTCAAAGGAAGGCAAGGCCTCAGCTACGCCAAAGACCTCAGACTCGTAGATCAAGCTCAAGAAGATCTGGATATGCTTTTGCTCACCAAGAGGGCTATGGAGAGCTTATCACATCTGGAAAAAATATGCGAGCTAAAAATCCACCCCCAACATCAGGGTTGGAAAAGACACTGTCTAATAGCACTAGCTGGATTGAAAATTTATGTAAGAAAACCACAGACACAGTGAGCAGCTTTAACCACACTAAAACAGTAAAACTGTGAGTCAAGATGAATTTGAACCACATAGTTATCTTTTCACTTCAGCTGGAGCTGCAATTCAGCTGGCTCCGATGTTTGGGATCGGGGCTAGGAGTGGGGCAGATTGCCTCACTTAGCTTAAATCTATGGCAGACAGCTGCTGGGCCTCATCAAATAGAGGTGTACTCTGCTGGAAACAAACCCAGATGGTCACTACATAATTCGTGATTTGGCAGACAAAACCCTCACAATATAAGCACAGGTTTTCATCAAATTAGATACCAATTGACCCAAACTTTAGAATTTTATTTATGAAGAAAAACTTGTACATATACATTGAATGGATCTTCAGGTGGATAAAATGTTGCATTCAAAAGATATATACCCCAGCTGAAAAATCATGTTGTTTACAGATAAACATGTACACGTAAGACCGGCCTTTCCTAAGATATGCTTTTAAGATTAGGTGCTTCCAGATAAAGAGGAGCTTCTCCCTCTCCAGTCTTGACAGCTACCTGTGTATCCAGCCAGGACAAAAATCACCTTCAAGAACATCTTGGTTATCCTGATTTTGCTGCTAGTCTAGGGACAGTATAGACTGGGCAACTTTACAGTGGGATAGGCTGGTGCTTTGGTCAAATTTATTCAAAAAGCCCTCACAGATGAGTTCATGAAACGTCAAAGAGAGGCACTCTAGAAAGTGTTCTAAATGCTTTTCAATGACTTTTATAACAATTTCTGTAGTAATTTGCCCAGTATCATACAGAACCATTATGGAACCAGTGAAGCCGTGAAATTTCACCCCTAACTGATAGTATTCCATATAGTGTATGGGCAGATACTTTCAACATTTCTTATTTTAAAAAGTTCCAATTCGAAACCAAACTAATTAATAAACATTCTCTTCAATTGCTATTTAAATACTCAGGCTACGTCATTCACTGCTTTTGGTACTCAGCTATAATGTTTATAATTCCCATATCTACACATATGTAGATGAGGCTGATTTTGGAAGGGGATGTTCCAGTCCAAATGTGAATCACCAGTGTAGTTTCCATAAAAGAATTCAGGCTGATCTGTGTTCATGTCCAGCTCTGTAGCTTCTTACCTCTAAAATGTTGGGCAGGTAAAGTGTCTCCTCTGAGATTTATTTTCTTCCTCTGTAAAAGGAGGATATACTACCTACCTCACGTGGTTGTTTGAGGATTGTCAAAGCACAAATTCTTAAATCATGAAAGACACAATTCTCATATGAACACATGGTGAGTTTAGTTCCATTAAACTCATCATCAGAAAATTGAACGATTTGAAGAGAATGCGAAGAACAAGAATTTAATCAATGGGAAAGGCCTTGATGAATGAGACTGCAAAGAAAGATATAAAACTGTTTAGTGTCCTACAGAGAAATAAAACTATAACGTTGGAGGTGAATTTCTCTGCCAGAAAGGTGGCTAATTTTCTACAAGTCAACCTCCTACTTTATAGGGTCCATAATCTGGCCCCTATTGAATCATTAACCAAAGCTACATTTCCCAAGAGGGTCAGATGGCCCTTGGGTGGGCTTGATGAATAATAGACTAGCATAATATTAATAGATCACACAATCCTGTTTTTGTATATTTGTTTGTGTGTTTTGGCCTTAATTTCAAAGTCTGGGATAATTTTCCCGGGATGGGATCAAATGAGATACATGTCAAAGAGCCTAATCATACCATATGCTCATATATGTTCCCTTCTCCCCTACATTCCTGTGTAGATTTACCAAGATTCTAGTTTTCAATGTCTAATATTTCATTAGATTCACTGTGTTTGCTTGCTTTTTTGTAACATTTTTGAAAGATTTGACAACTTTCAGTAAATATTTTGGAATTATTGTAATTTGATGTTTTGCCACCTCTTTATTGGGAACTCATTGGAAAGAGTTTTTGTTATATTGGTCAACTGTTTTGTTTTTTCCTTCTCCTTTATGTGCCTGAGGAAAATGTACATCATTCTTAGGATCAGAGTCAAGAATATAACGACCGATTGGACCTGTGTAAAGGATGGGAAAAATGAAGAATGTTCCAACTTTGTAAATTCTGTTCAAATTAAATAAAGCTGTTTATAAACAGATAATGTGGGTGACTGTGAGAGAAACATATTATCAATTTACTTTGGCCCCATGAGATTCAAATAAGCTCACACACCCATTGCAAGATAATTTGACTACAAGTGCCAGAGATTACTTTGGACCTGAAAAAAAAGAGTCTGAGTGGAGGCTTGGGATGGCAGTACCCTGAGGAATGATAAAATTTTAATTTTACATAAACATTATCAGCTTATTTGGAAAGGAAAAAAAATTTTCTGGATTCAGAACTGATGTTGGTAACCTTGGGTGTTTAAAACCTTTGTTCAAGTTTTGGGCTTTTATAGGCAATTACAAATTGTATTCCTTTCACTTAGATCTGCTGTCTTTGTCTCTCTCATGTGCCTCCAGGTATACATAACTATGAAGGAAAGAAAGAGAGAGGGCTGGAGAAAGCCAGAGAGATAAAGCAAAAGAAGAAGGAAGCAATGGAGAGAAGATAGGAGGCAGGGAGGTAACAGTTTCCAGTTAGAGAGCTCTTAAGGTGACATGACTCTCTGAAAAATAAATTTAATTCCTCAAAGAAAAAAATTTTGATTGTATTTGAGAAGTGAACAGCAAAACCTCCTTCACAGGAGGTGTGAGATCAAGGACATTCTATTATAAAGGGGGCCAGGAGCTCTGGGTTCTCATCACAGGGATGCTGCTGAGCTTTGTCTGGAGGCTCATGCCACTGACTTCCCCAGGCCTCAGTGTCCCCATCCATCGCTGGAGAAATCAGGCCATTTGGCCTCAAAGACCCTTTCTCATCTGCCCATTCTGTGAGCTGTTCTTGCCGGTGTCGCACACTGTAATTGGTTTGGACTGGGGAGAGAGAGAAAGAGAGCGGGAGATGGGAATTGAGAGGAATTAAACTGGATTCTTTCTTGAGGGCAGAGCTCGACTCTTGTACTAGTTATATTTCTCTAGAACAGCCCCTGGTGTCCTTCTGTCTCTTAGCTTACCACAGAGGTGCTGAAACCTTAAAGATTTTATTTAATTTTAGAGAGAGGGGAAGGGAGGGAGAAAGAGATGGAGAGTAACAGCAATGTACGAGAGGTACATGGATTAGTTGCCTCTTGCATGTCCCCAACTGGTACCTGGCCCACAACCCAGGCATGTGTCCTGACTGGGGATGGAACCAGCAACCTTTTGGTTCAAAGGTTGGCACTCAATCCACTGGGCCAAGGCTTCACTAAGATTTTATATCCACACTCTCATTTCCTCTATGCTGCTTTAAATATCAAAAGTATACAGAAACAAAGGTAAGATACTTCTGCCTAGTAAGAACGGTACCATTTTAATATCCTTCTACCTTGTCTCTGGGCCTAGAGAATTTTTAAATTGGGTTCATTGGGGTGACATTGGTTAATAACATATAAGTGCCATGTACAAATCTGTAGCCCATCACCTGCATATTGCACTCTGTGCTCACTGCCCATAGACTAGCTTCCTTCCGTCATCATGTATTTGGCCCCCTTTACTGTCTTCATCCCCCCCTCACTCCCCTGCAGCTCTGGTAACGACTATACTGTTGTCAGTGTCTAACACTTGGTTTTGTGTGTTTGTTGCTTTTTGTTTTATATCCCACATATGAGTGAAATCATATCATTCTTGTATTTTTCTGTCTGACTTCTTTTGCTTAGCTGATACTCTCAAGATTCATCCATATTGTTGCAAATGGCAGTATTCCATCCTTCCTTATGGCTGAGTTGTATTCCTTGGTATGTGTGTACCACCTCTTTATCCAAGCATCCATTGAAGGATACTTGGGTTGTATTTGCACAGACTGTATTCTTTTGAGTCTTGCAACAATCCTGTGTAGTAGTCAGGAATTCATGTTAAACCCATTTTTAGGAAGAGGAAATTGAGGCACCGAGAGGTTGTTTTACTCAATTTTACCAGAAAGTAAAAAGGCTCACTCAGAACTGACACTGAATCTGGAGCTTCTTACCTACAACTCCTCGCTTCACCCCAAGCTGTCTCTCCTCACAGGCACAAGATTTCTCAACAGTTCATCTGCTTCTAAAACAGTCATTTCATTTCTCAAGCGTACAGATTCAGAGAAGCATAGACACATGTCAAAGTGTTTTGAAATGTGTATTTCAGGTGCTCTCTTTCCCTCTCAATGCAAATAAGCAAGATTTCCTCTCTTCTTTTCTTCCTCTATGTATTTCATGGAGATTGATACACATGGAAATAAACGTCTCAAATTACTTTTAAAAATTTTTAGAAAATATAAAGACCCAGAAAAGCTGCACCTCTGATTTTCATGGTAAGGAATTGCATTACTCTGTTAGTGTGTGCACAAAATGCCTCAAGATTAATCTGACCTAATTATCTCAGTTGAATCACTCAGAATTGTTATTTTTATATTTTAAAATATTAGACATAGTTTAATAGTGGCAGAAGCCAGAAATGAAGATGACTTCTGGGCCATGATGGGCTTCTGCGGGTCAGGAGTCAGATAATGACGTGGGGCCACAATTTTCCAATTTTTACATTGACATCTGGTATTAAATGTCTGCAGTGTGCTTTACTGCGTCACATTTCATTCCTCGGTGACAAATCACAAACTTTTGCAATTCTCTAGCCTAAGCATTTCGCTGAACTGCCTGGAAGCCAGAACCAAATAACCCATGTGTTTCAAAATGCTCATTGCAAAATATTTGGAGGGCCTGGCTAGGCAAATCTGTAGGTCTGAGCTATGACTTAACCAAGAAAGGGGCCTATCTGTCCTCGCATTTCAAAACTTCCTGGCAGATTTATTCCTGTAACCGGTGCAGAATACAAATCAGCTTGGAGCAGCGTAGAAAACATCCAGAGTTCAAGAAATAATGATGATGAGTTGGCCAGCAATCTCTGGCTATCTCAATTAGATTCCCGTAAGGTTTGTAAGGGCAAGTTTAAATTTTTAATGAACTGCAGTCCCGGGCTCATAAAGAAAAACCTTACTGAACCAGAATGCATAGAAAGATGATGCTTAACTGAATTTGGAGGTAATAATCGTCCTTGTCACAAATGTTTTATTCTCCCTGCCTTCTTGTAGGTGAGCATGGGCAGGGCTTAGGTTATTTCTTTGATGGCTGATGATTCTGCTTCTGGTCCCCTTTCTGACACTCTCCTCAGTGTGCAGCAATACGTAAGTGTGGAAGCGCAGCTGTTGCACAGAGATGGGACAGGAATTAAACGGACTCCAGGTTGTCCCCAGAAAAAGTTTGGAATAAGATCCCCATTCCTTTCTTGAG